GCCTGTAAGAAAGTTGTCCAGTTCAGATATACTACTGCCCTTTCCATCCAGCTGTTGCTTGTGTTTTGTCTATTTGCATGTGTTTTCTTGAGCTCTTTTGCCCACCATAGTATTACGCTTTGATGTCACCAGCTTGTCAAATACTGATATGCATTCTTTATTCTCATTCTTTATTCTGTTCACTGTACGACTACTGATGACTCTGATTAACCATATTGCAGATTGACCGTGGAGAGTTCCAGCAGGAACCCGTACTGAAGCCACTAGAGGTGCTCAAGGAGGAAGAAAAAGAGTTCCAGCACATTAAGGTGAGAAACCAGCAGGAAATGTTATTGCTCAATTATCCTTTTCTTTGCAGAGGCGAAGAGTACCTTTTAGCATCTCATCCAAAAATTGGTTGTTTTCATTTAAGGCCACTGCCTAAAAAACAAACCCAAATAAGTCTAATGGGAGAAAGTATATATGGCTTGCAGAAGTGAGCACAACACAGTTGCGTTGAAAACTTTCAGGGGGTTTAGCTTTTAGTCATTTGTCACATGTCACATTAAGCTTAATAATCCAAAGATAACCCCCAAAATTCCACTAGGCGTGGCTTTATGATTCGCACATCTTCAAATCCCACTGACCATCCTAAGAGCGTGTTGACGTGTGTATTTTGTCCTTACAGAGGATATAAAATGGTGTGTTTCTTTTGCTTTAAATCTCCTCTGACCTGGCAGGCTTCTGGCCTGGTGCCACAATGTTGATGTAGCAATGTTTGATCCGGAGTCTGCATGAGGTATTTTATTTTGAAAATTGACCGGATTCTTTATACATTTCTGTGTCTGACTTCCTGCCAATACAATACAATACTTCTGTTTTGTCTATTACGTTTAACAGCGATTAAGTGGCATCTGGCCGTGTAGTTGCAAGTCGCAACTCCCTACTCCCTCAATTCACCCTCCACTTCCAAGCACAAAGGAAAAGTGGCTGCCAAAGGCGCCAAAAATGCAAACGCCCATTTCTAGAGCTTTGATTAGTCCCTTCTGGGCTACTGTGGAAACATG